CACAGATAAAACGTGATGCTGTGACTAGGATTTGAAGAAGCAGAAGGTTGGAAGGCCATTTTGAGCAGCTTTAAGAGTGGTGAGGTCTTCTTTGGGTTTGAATGCAGAAAGAAAGGATCTGTGAATACCTTAATTTCTTCTCATGAGGGTACCTTATCTCTCCTGGAGATCCCTACAATGAGGGGGACACATGGGTGTGGTGGCTTTTTGGAAGCAGGTGGCAGCTCACCTGTTCTGAACCATACTCATGGCCATCCAGTCTCCAGGGTACACATTTTTCCCAATGAGGTCCTTGAACATGATGAAGGTCTCCATCAAGAAGTCCTGGAACAGTAACACACAAACCTACTTGTCATCCTGTTCTACAGGAACGGACAGTGAGCACCCAGATCTTGTTGGCTCTCTAGATTTGTTTGTACTGGGTTTTAGAGGGACAGAAAGGGAAGGGGCACAGCTTTTCATTAAGCAATTCAGTGCAACTCATTGCAGTGGGCTGTAAAGGGAAGCTTTAAAGTTAGTTACTGGGAGACTGCTTCACAAATAAGTGGAATGAGAAGACTATCTGCAAATGAAGCACTATTTATTCTGTCTCTGAGAAAAAAGAAGCCAATGTATTCATTGATGTGGCAATTTTATAATCATTTTCCCAAATATGTATTTAAGAAGGAAATAATCTACACTATATGAAAGCATCTCAGGTCATTGAGCAAGCAAACTATTATTTAAATGAACATCTAATTAGCAGTGCTGTAAACAGAGCTAATTCTCCTGTCACACTCATGCACATGAGCAGTGTGAAGGAAACATAGTGACAAAGACTCTGCCTTTCCTTTGAAGCCGTCCAAAGTGGGCTTTAACACACTCTATCAGATTTTGCAGTGGGTCAAACTTGATCTCCATCTTTGCAGAAAATCAATTCAGGACAAAATGGATAGCAAAGCCCAGAATCACCAGCTCTCTTACGGTGGAGATAATATGGTCATACAACCTTGATGCTTTAGGTAAAGCCTAAAATCCAGGTGGGGCCTTCTCAGAATTCCTAAGCAGTGATTTGCAAATCATTTTAACTGCAGGGTTCTTTGTTCAACAGAAATCTCACCTGACACCCAATGTATGAAAAAGACAATAGTACATCAGCACTGGCTGGTGTGTGTGTGTGTGTGTGTGTGTGTGTGTGTGTGTGTGTGTGTCTGTGTCTATGGTAGAAGATAGTGAGGCTAAGAAGAACATAATTTGAAAATTACTGCTTTATGCTAAAATACAAACTTCTGGAAATGATATTGGTTCCTTTTAAGGAATCTTTGCTTCCAGGGAAAATTATCTCAATGGTCTAAGTCCAGCTTCCACCTCAGGAGAATGGGGGTAACATCTGTCTCGAGGGGCTACCACGTAGATTAAGTGCTTGTTGTCTATTAGATATTTAACACAGGGCCTGGAGCTTTGCAAATGCTCATCAGTGCTGGGTGAAGATGGGGGCGGGTCTTATTAACTACCTTTGATATCACTTGGGAAAGTTTGGGTCTCGCTACAGGCACAGCCCCTTGTCATGTGGATGAAAAAGCTTTAGTCCCATAGATGGTGAGCGTGGCTTCTCAATGAGAAGGTACAGCATGGTGCAAAGGTAAGAACCAACATTCATCTCCAGCCTGGGCCACACATTAGTGATGGTCCTTTGAGCAATCAGATTGTAGACTTTAAAAATGTGAGTCCTAACTCCTGTGTCATACTGTTAAAGGCTGATACGAAAATGTGTACGTTTAATAAACAAGAATCCCCTTTCTATCTCCCTGGTGAAGAAACTTTTCTTTCTATAAAACATAAATAAATTTGGTATCCATTTCCATGTTGCAGGGCACAGAAATGTGAGGGAAAAGGTTACTTGATTTCCTTCTATTTTTTTAAATTTATTTTTTGCATATGCAGGAAAAGGGTCCAATCCTGCTCTAACGGGGACAGTGTCTTGCTGATGAGCAGATGAAGTATAGGGTGGTGGCTGCCTAATGGTTCCCTGTGATGGGCCACTCTCAGGTTGTCGACTGCTGGAGTCTTTCATGGCTTTAAGGAGTACTAAGAGTGAGCTCCCCATAGCAAGACTTCTGAGTTGGGCAGCATTAAGGTGACAGTGACAAAGGTAAGCACACTGAGAACAAAGAGTGCTCTGCTATTCCCCCAGGACAGTGATAGCTGGTCTGGTCTGAATGTTGATAAAGTCATCTGCTGCAGAGGTATGGGCCAAGCCCACATGATGCAGGCAGAGAGTCCTGCAAATAAGTCCCGAGAGGTGATAGGAGAGTACTGAGTGGCCAATTTCCTCTCTGTACTTGTTATCATAAGGCAACACTATACTAGCTTTCTGTCACTGAGCCCTTGCTGTGTTCTCATGTAACTTCTTCACTTTGACATCAATAATATTATTCCCATTTTATAGACAAGAAACTGAGGATCAAGGTTAGCTCATCTGTATTCACTAACCGGTGTCAAATCCAGGATGGCAATCTAAGGCCATGTGATACCAATGCTCTTGTTAAGTCCCAAAGTATCTGTGATTCATCAATAAATATTTGTGAAAGCATATCTTGTTTACATGGTGGATTGCCAGGTCTTAGTTCTGACATTGATTGAAGACATGCTCCAGAATGTAGAGACAGGGACCAGACATGCCTGTTATAACATGTCTGTTTACAACACATACTGTGTGTGGAGAGGCTCTCTTGTTGTGAAACTCATACAAGCCAAAAGTATTAGGGCTAGAGATTTAGTTCAGCAGCATAAGCACCTGCCTGGCAAGTGCAAGGTCCTGAGTTCGATTCCCAGTACCAAAAACAACACAAAAGTATGACATGTTACCCTCCTCTTCCCTACCCTATCATCCCCAGCATCCTGCAGACTCACCACAAGGTCCGCGCTGGTCTGGAAGGTCTCAATGTAGAAGGAATAGTGTTGGTCACCCATCTGGTCTAAAATGGCTGTCATACATGCCACAAAGTGACTCTGCAAGAAATAAAGAAAAACACCATGAAATAGTGGGAAAAGAACCATGGAACTGATCTTCTCTACTTCTTTGACTTCAAACTGGAAAGAACCCAGCCATTCCAGATAACGCGGATAGGGCCATCTAGTGATGGAGAATCTCTCCTTACCAGATCAGTATGTAAAACTTCCCCATGAGAAATTGTCTCTGTATCACTTAATTTACCAAAAAAGCACTCACTGAAGAATTAAGGGACTAGGATTACAACCAGAGTTTCAATTGCAAAAAATAAGATGTGATCTATTATCTTTTCTGCTGCTCGTATACTGGGAAAATAGCACTGTATGAGTGTCAGGAAATCCAGCTATGTCAAGGTCCTGGAAGAAATTTCATTTTCTGATACATAATGTGGTATATGTAAATCCCAACTATCTCACCTGTAATGTGAGACAACCATCCATCAAACTGTCCATATCTTCCCCAGAGATTGCCACAAGGATCAAATTCCCCTATAGAGCATTGGAGTACCTTAAGATCTCTGCAGAAAGACTGGTTACTGGATTGCCCTGTGTCAGCCAGTGACAGAGCCCAGCACTCACGGGGATCCACACATGTGAGCCTACTGAGGATTTAAGAAATGAGAAGGGACGGTGCTGCTCTTTGTGAGTTTATCATCTAACTGGGAAAACATGTTTAGTGTCTATGGTCTGTGAAACACACCAAAGGGCTGAAAGATCCAGACAAGAGAGAATTTATGTGGAGATCTGGCGACAAAGTGAGTCTGGAAGGATCCCTAGAGAGGAAGGCTAAGCACCACACCCTTTCAGGCAGCAGAATGCACAGTCAACCGCTTATGCTTTGTGCCTTCCAGATGATACAGTGTGTTTTTAGGTATGTTTTCTGCTCAGGCTAGCACCTAAAGCAGCATGAAGAGAGGTCTATTCTGGAACTTGTAAGGGAAACAATGGTCACTGATCCAAAAGGGATGAGAAGCCACTCTGGACTTCCTCCTGCAAGAGGGCTGAAATCTTGGCAAGAAGGTCCACCCAGGATAGACTTGCAAAGATTGGCCTAATGCAAGGGTCTCCAGGAGACACCACTGGTAAAGTTAATCTTGGGAGTATTATGTTTAAACAACAAAACAATGGGTTTGGTTTAACAAACGGCTGCCTTTATAAAATGTTCTCCTTTATTTAAAAAAAAAACTATTAATACACAGATATTTGCATATATCCACCAGATTACAGGTTTAAACAATTTTGTATCCATGTGGAAAAGTATCCTGGTGACCCCAGAAAGCCCCTTCTGCATTCCTCCCCCGGGAAGCCTTTTGGGTAATTGAATGCTTCTCAAACTCTTATTCTCCAAAGTAGCTCCCAAAGATATAGATGCAGTTTTTTTCCAGGTTGTTTCAATTAGAAAGTTAGGGATGGTATTCGAGACTAGCTATGTAGATTGTGGGACCTGGAAGAAAATGAAAGTGTAGGGCCTTTGTTTCAAACACTTGAGAATTTCCCAACAGTCATATGGTGTTTTAAAGCAAGGGACATATACACAGGAAACTGGCCCCGCTAGCCCATGACTTCCACACTTGCACAGCATAAACTGTTTAGAAAGAACGCAAGCCTGGCAAAGCACAGAGCTGGAACTCTCCTGAGCACTGGCCTAGGACCCTTCTTGGGTTTTACCCCCTTGATGGCCCACTGTAAAATCTTCTCTGCTCAGGCCTCCAGGGGGTGGTAGTGAGTTTGTAAAATTATTCACCCCTTTCAAACCAGACTGAAACATTCCCATGGCAGCTAACCAAACCAGGTCTCACTTAACTCACAAAACGAACTTCTGTTTATCCTCTGGCCAGGATGAATGAAAGAAAGAAAGAAATCCTAAAGTTTGAAGGATGTAGAGGTGTAGCAGTGTGTGTGAGTGTGTCAGTGTGTGTCTGTGTTTACACGCACTCAGGCCTGTGTTTCCTCTGTTCCCTCCATCGCTCCCTTCTCCCTCCCTTAAAGAATTCAGCCTGTGGCCACTAGAGGTCTTTTCTTTTCACATGGTAGCTGCTGTGCAGTTTGTTCGGCTTTTTATTTATTCCTACGTGAGCAGACCCACTACACTTCTTGCATATAAACAGTGAAAATTACAATATAAAGGAGTTTTTCCCCTTCTTTTGGAGTTATTCCGTCGCTGCTCAAAGCCAGGCTCGTTGTGCAAGGACGGGGACAGCCTCTGCAGGTAATTGCACTGCTTCAAGGTAAGAGATGTGGGAAGCGTTTATTTTTCTGTGATCGATGATCTTCTCAGAGAAAATGCTGTCGTCTCTTGGATAATAGTTTACTTTTAAAGCTTTGGCTTGCATGAGCTCTAGAATTATGAGTGTAAATGGGTGTGTGTGGTGGTGTGTGGGGAAATCCACCATTGTCAGAACTGCAGGCTGCCCCAAATGCATAGATAGGGATTGCTTGTTATTTCCAATGGCTTGATTTGAATTTGAAGGGGTAAAAACAGCAAATGCAAACCTTAGAGCTCAAGTTGCCAGGAATTATCTCTAAAAGGGTTCATCCTCCAAAGCCCTGTTTAGGAAAACTTCTATGCTTAGATTTAAAAGAAAAAAAAAAAGGAGAGAAAGAAAAAGGAAAGGAGGGGGATTCTTGTCCCCATTAGAGTGACCATTTTGTGAAAGAAAACATTATCCTTTTATTAGGAGTTGGGCAGTGTGTTAGAGTTTGTCAATCAACCAAAATTACTTTTACTAGCTTGTTAATTTCTTTGTTCTAACTACCACATAGAAAAACCCAGCCGGGTGCCTCTCAGGATTTGTAGTGCAGTGTGACTGAAGTTTGGATAAGTTACCTGCATTTGGCTGTTAATAAAAAATGGCAATGTTTTACCTCCAGCTGGGAGCATCCTGTTTTTCTACTATAGTGTTTAGTCTACTTTAGTATCAGATCCTTCAGAAATCACACAGATGTGACCAACTGGTACCTAAAATGGAGCGAGACACGGTGGCACCTTCGTGTTCAGAAAATGCTCTTCTCCGTCATTTGAATTAAAAAAACACTTTGTCATACAATGACAGAATGATGGAAGAACACACGTCCCTGACATACCGTTCTTTTCCAATGATATCCTCCAAATGGCAAGTGCACCTGGCCCCTCTCCCTTTTTCACGAGTTTGAGACCATACTTTCACAACCACCATGTCTTACTTTTTTAGAAGGAATTGGGGATGGGTGGGGGTTGTAATCAGACTGCATTTGTCTTAGCAATCAAAACAACCCTCACATTGACACTGTTCAAACTTTATCACTTAGGAGCCCAAACTCTAGCTTCACCAGTAATCTGAAAAAGCCTGAATACTGTGTGGGGGACTAAGGGATAGGGGATCCCTTGTAGTTCAGACTAGTAAGAATCCCCTCTTCCTATCCCTGGTGCAAACCCCTGTAATCGACATATATTTACTATCAAGGCATGAGGCAGCCACTCATCCATACCCAAGCAGTCAGTATGCCAGGTGCCTGGATAGGAAATTGCTTCTTAAAACAGAACACCAGTGGGACTTGCATATTAAATTCTAGCAAGATACTGAATCCTGGACTCTGGCGTAAACCAGGCAGAATCACCTCATTCCTATCAGGGTGGTTTAAAATGTGGCTAATGAATCACAGCATGAGGAGACACAGTTTGAAACTAGGTCAAATGTGTAAAAATAAGTGCAATCAGCATAGGCACTTGGCTGATGAGGGGCTACTTAACGCAATGAGTGGCAGGGCTTATTTGCTATATAGAACTCTCTTCAGGGATCCAAGATGATCAATTGTTTTAATTAATTCAGCCCATCAGCACACAGCCAGATCCTGCACACTTGGGAGAGAGGTGAAACTCCAAGGGAAAGCAGTCAGGGTCTCCTCACTGTGTGAGGGCCAGAAAGAAGGGGAGGGGAGAGAAGCAGGCGGGGAGAGAGAAAGAAACAGTATTGTGTGAGCAAAATTAATTAGCTGGGATACTAGATGATTTTAATCTGGAAGTGGCCTCCTCAAAACACTGCATTCTCTTCTTTGCATTAAAAAATCATCATCACCACATTGATAATGCCAATAGTTTTGGTACATAATACTCAAGTTAAATGTATCTATTTACAACCTCTAATGCAAATACACCTACACACACCACACACACACACACACACACACACACACACACACACTCACTCACTCACTCACGAGTCCTGCAGTGCTTAGTAAGGCAAGAAAGAGGCTCTCAGTTTTTTCTGCCTTGGAGAAGAAACAAAATAGGGGAGAGGGTTTGGTCGCTGCAGAGGCACCCCCCTCTCACCTGGGGTTATTGGGAATGATGAGAAAGCAGAGGAAGAAAAACAGCCAACTTCGGGAGCTTGATACCTAAATGCCAACATTACTATGCGTACCAGCTGATGACACGTTGCTATAGTAACTTCAAGTAATGTGCACGACCAAAATAAAATAAAATAAAATATAGAAAGTGCCAAGGAGAGGAGATGAAGGAAAGTTTGTGTGCCGAGGAGGCTCACGGGGAGATGGAAAGTTCTTCTGTGAGCCATCCTTTGGAAACTAAGCGTGGCCAAATGACACTCTCGGGTTGCTGCACTGTTCACCCTCATGTCTGCCATGTAGTTATGTAACAGATTTTATTCAGGGTTGAAACTAGTGCTATCTGTGTGGTGGATTCAGGACCGGAGGTGGGAGGCTACGGTGTCAGGAAAAACAAGGACTCTAAAACCCATTCATCTCAGAGCTTTGTCAGACAGCTCAAAGTTGCAATTTGGAACCAGTTTTAGGGGCAGCTAAAGTGCCAGTTCTCTCACAGCAGCTACTAAGTTCTGGGTACTATGCTGAGTGCCAGGGGGACAGCAGTGGGCAGGTAAGATGGAGAAGGTCGTGTTCTGAAGAGCTTATGACTGGTTCTGCCAAGGTGTGGAGCACAGGAGCGGAGGCCTAAGAGACAGGCAACCCATGTTCAACCCTCAGTTCTGCCTTTTATTAGCCTCGTTACGTTGAGCAGAGTCTTGTACCTCAATTGTCCCATCTATCAAAGAGGACAAAAATATTCCTTACATCATACGGAATAGAGCATTAAATTAACTTGTGTAAAGACTTTAGAATAAAGAAAGTCTTCAATAAATACCAGCTACTATTATTATTAGTCTTGATCCTGACTGTGGTCCTGGGAAACTGTGCAGAATAGCTAGTTAAAATTCCTGACCTGACCAGAGGAAATGATTCTGTCTACTTGTGACTGTGGCCACATCAAGTGCTCCCAATCACAACATGGAAGACCTATGTGCCCTTGACGCTGAGCAAGCTTTGGCTAACAGCATGCCTCGGGTCCAGCTGCTTAGTAAATCGAATGTGTGCTCTTGGAGCAGAGCATACTAGGAGATTTCTTTTATATGGGGACACTTGCTGGCAGGTAGAAAATATAACTACAGTGCCCAGATAACTCAAAAGCACAAAATACAACTGTCTTCATGGAAAACTCAGTCCCCCAGCTATTTGTTTTTAGGTGGTACCTGTCTCTGTATGCTGTGACGTTCTTTGGCTACCCAGGGGATACTGCTGTGTACCAGAGTAAATCAAGTCACTTTTCTTCTTGGGGATGCAGCTCAATGGGCACAAATCCAGGAGGTTTGTGTGATCTGTTCCATGTCAAAGGCACAATATCACAAGAAACCAGAGAGGTGTTTCTTGGATGCATTCTGACATGTCCCATCTGTAAAAGCAGGGGCTCTAGGAGGGTTAGCTTTGTGCATCCCTGCCTGACAACGTGGACATTAATGATGCATCAATTCCAGAGCAGACCAGGGTCAGAACCATAGTAATGGTGTCTCCTCGGAGATCTCTGCTTGCTGGCAAGGAGCAGGTGGGGAGACGTGACGAAGCTGCTTTGAATGCCGGCTGGAAGAGAAGTCCGGATTCGTTACACACTCTTCCTTTGAAACTAACACCTCTGATCCTGGCTGGAGCCTGTGCTCCTGGTTTGGCAGTGTAAGATCAGTTTAAATCTTCTAAAGGACACAATGGGGTATTTAATCACAAGGAGGAGGAGGAAGGCAAACAAGTCCCATTCATTCTTTCCTTGTGCCCAAGACTGTACCTCCATCCTTTCCCTGGATCTTCTCATCAGTTCCATGAGGTCAGTTTCATGGTCCTTTTACAGATGAAAGTGGGGAGCATGAAGGCTAACACAGGCTTAGTATGTAACAGTAGAGGAGCTTAAATCTGGGCAATTCTGTGTCCAAAACCTATGCTATCTGCATCTATCACATGCACACTATCAGATCCACCTGGCAGAGATTTTTATCCATTTATTCATTGCTGTATTTTCAGGGTCTAGAATTGGACTTTCATATTTAATGGGCTCAATAAATATTCGATGAGAGGTTGAATTTATTATAGTACTCCCCATATCTACAAGACTGTTACAAAGACCCCTGTGCACGAACTCTGATGAGCTAAGGTCATGTGTTGACCACCTTCACCTTAGGAGAGGCCAGGAATCCAAGCATTTTTTTCTGAATGAGACCACCAACCAAGAGTAAGACCTGCATCATCTCACTGAATGCTCTAACCAGCAGGGTTTTAGTAATCCAACATATTATTCTTCCTCACATTCCCTAATAAGACAAATATTTTTTAGGCATTTACTGTGTGCCAGACTTTTTTGGGGCATCCTAGGGATACATCTGTGTCAAGGTTAACAAAGGCTTTGATCTTAAAAATTTCACATCCTGATAGGGCAGGGCCATAGAGAGGGCACACACTTTAAATAAGTGAGCACATAAGTAAAATAATTTCAGACAGTGATTTGTACTAATAATGAAATATGATAAAGCAGTGGGTAGAGATGGAATGGGAAGGGACATGGTTTAGGTAGAGTCATGGTGGCCTCTTTGAGCACTGAACACCTGGATGATGAGAATTAGTCATACAAAAGTCTGGAAGAATGTCCAGATGCAAAGACCCCCAAAGTGAAGATGTACTGGGGTTTCTGAGGAGTTGCTTGGCTGGAAGAGAGAAATGAAGGAAAGTGAGACATAAGATGAGGTCAGACCAGACGGGTAGGGACAAGATCCCTTGAGCCCAAGAGTAGAGTTTGGATTTTTTTCTAAGGGCAAAGGAAGCCATCATGTGGGTTTTAAAGATCACTCTGGCTGCTGTGTACTGCAAAAGCCCCGCGTTAAAGAAATAGTTTCTGTGTCCACACATTAGCCTGTGC